AAATTGAAATTGAGAACGCAAATATCACAATTCTTAAAATCTACTTAGTGAAAGTGTTTCCTCACAATCATTTTCATGAACGGAATGAAACCATATGAAACTTAGATTTTATAGTGTATGTGTTCCTATCCATGTGAATTTGTCAAAACCATAATCACAAGACAAGGTTAGTGACAAATTCAAACTCATATGGACTAAACTTGTTCAATCTTAATTTCTTGCCACCTGGCAACAAAAGGGCCTACCATTGCTTCCAAGTTGTTATGCATACAATTGAGAACTCATTAAACTCACATGCATAGTCAACTTTAACTAGAATGGGCACAAAAATAAGCATATTTCAACATGATAGGTTACAAACCTCAAGTTGTGCGCTAGTGATAAACAATAGGTTTTATTCTTGATTAGTTCTTGAAACTTGTCAAGATCTTTAAGACTCCCACTGACCTTTTGACATATAAGATTCTATTGTCAAGAATAATTTCTTCACAAACAAATATTCAAGAGTCAATGCGGATTCTTATCAAGATAAACACTTCACACAATTGGTCTTAGTTGGTCTTTGTCCTTACCAAGACATCACAACTTACCAATTTCAAATGTACAAGAGTAAGTAAACATTCTACTCTACAATTGATGAGTGTTATAAACCTTTCTTAAGATTATATCACTCAAGGCACAATCTTGGAGCATGACTCTAAGACTTGTGTTTGGAACGAAGTATGACTCATCTTATTGATTTAACCATTTCAACAATTCATGATTCCTCTTCTTAGCCATAAGAAGGCACTAAGATGTCCTTAGAGGATGAATTGTGATATGGTTTCCCATAATCATTAAGATGATCATAAAACACGATACTAAAGTACTCTCCCATCTTTTCATATTGGAGAAACTTATATCTTTCTGCCTAATTGGATTCTTCCCATTCGATCTTCCATACATTGAAACTTTTCCAATGTTTCAAAGTTATACTTAAACTTGTAATTATAACCATATTTGCTAAACTTTAGTAAATCATGATGAATAGTCTTATCTTTCTTTGTGGTGGACCTTTGACCAGTGCACAAGAATGTGTACTCGATCCCTTAGTCCTTCACTTGACTCACATATACATGTGATCAAGGAATTAGTCTTAATTTACCAAAGACAAAAGTTCTTATTCATCACACTCTACAAGTTGCATGATTCCAAGTTTATGTCCAATTGAAACTTGGGTGATGAGAATCTTTCCTTATTTGGAAAATACTTGACACTACCACAAACGAAAGAATCAAATTCATATTGCTAACATAGAAACATACAAACATCAATTTTCACAAATGCCATTGCAAGGAAATATAATATAAAAATAAAAACATTATTTATTTATAAAATGCAGAAAAAACTTTTCCTTACAATGCAATTACAAATTAAAACAATGTTATTACATATTTCCTAGCAATCTATCATAGCTCCTAAGTTGCAACTCAAAAATCTGATCTTCGAACCAAGCGATAGAAATCCATCTTCACGACCAGATTCAGCATACTCTTCCTTTAAGCTTCCTTCCTTTTGCATGATCCTCCAAAACATCAAAATGCAACCTAGTCACATCATGTATTAAGAATAGTCAATTAGGATCTTAACAGAGTTAGATAGTGGACTTACCTGAAGCAGAGTCAAACTTTTTGATTATACCTTCCCTCAAATCTTTCAGGTATTCAGGGTAGCTTCGCATCCAATGCCCCTTCTCTTGGAAATAGAAACATATGGACTCTTTGGGAATAGTACACAAGAAAATCTCAGACTTAGCCTTTCCCTTTACCATTTGGTCAACTGGGTTGACTATGGCCAATCCCTTTTTATTGGGAAGAGAAATCTTTTTGGACTTCCAATGTTACCATTGTCAATGTCCATGGAAGTTTGAGAAATAGATCTTCCAATCAAATTTTCTTTTCCAGTGCGCCAAATCATTTCTGATTCAACACCAACAAGAAAATAAGTAAGATCAATAAGGTTTATGTCGTGGTTTGTCACATAGTAGTCCTTAATGAACTCACATATAACTCAGGAAGTTACTAAAGGATCCAGTCAATAGCCAACTTCCTCGAGACTTCGACACCCAACTCTCCCAACCTATCAATTTGTGACTTCATCTCCAAGACATGTGCACACGCAGACCTTCCATCTTGGTGTTTACTAGCCAATAGGGTTTGAGTGACCTTGAACTTGTGGGTTAGGGAGAATAATTGGAGGAGAAGTAGAAAATGAAGTATGATATTGTGGAATATCATCTTCTAGTGGAGAGCTTGTTCCAAAAGACTTGGGAAGACCATACTTGGTTAAACTAGACATCTAGAATGGGAGAAATTCTAGTTAGTTTATTTAAGTCCTTAATATAACACCCAAATGAAATATTAAGGCTAGGAACCAACACAATAATTTACAATTCGGAAGAGGGATGTCGTAATCCGATTGTAAACTATTTGAAGGTATGTCTGACAACCCGAAATTTCTAGCTTACATTCTTCTTTTATATCAAAGTTAGCTTCGTTTTGCTATCTTATAATGAAGTTTTGGGTCTATAAGAGTGCTTAAAGCTTAGTATAATTGAGATACGTGTCGGAGGATGGATTGGTTTGGTTGTAACATTGGAAAAACGAGCCAAACACACCAAAACTGGTGTGTGCGGCCAGCCAACCGCACACAAGCCAACCACACACACCTCCAGCCACACACACCTTCATATAAGTACTATCCTTGGTCATTTTGATCATTTCTTACACTCTTGCAAAGCTAGGACTCAAAAATCCTCTCAAGTATCATCCGGAAAGGTAACATCTTTCACCAAGAACACCAAAAACACCAAGAACACCATGATTTCTAGCAGCACACACTTGTGGCAGCACACCTGGCCGCACACATGGCCGCACACACAAACATATAGTGTGTATTTTGGACATACACTCTCTTGTATAGCCTTTTAACCCTTTGTACAATCATTTATGGTTGTAACACTTCAATATAAGTGTTTACTAGTGCCAAAGGTGGTCCAAATTCGTTAATTAGTCGTTCATAACACTAATTATATTCATATATGTGCCAATATATGCTAAATAGGATTCACGTGTGTACTCAAGTTACCACTTGATACTTACCAACAGATCCAACATTGTCATCAGAACCACTCACTACAGGTGAGTTCATACCACTAAAACAACCTTTGAAACGTTTTTAAATGCTTTTATGGGGGGGGGGGGGATACAAGTTGAAACAATTATAGTTATTATATCAATCACATGTGATTAATGACTACCAAGCAAATGGTTTTCTTACTTTTCAAACTATTTATCAAACTGTTTTTACCTCAAATTGTCTTACAAACTCCTTCAATGGTCAAATACTTTTACTTAAACTCTTTTAAACTTATATTCTGTGTATCTGTATAAATATAGTTATATAAGTAGGATTGAAAGGACTTAGGACTGCTAGTCTACCCTGCTTCCTGTTCTTGTTTGATGTGGTCTTAGGGTATCAAGGTTAGTTGTCTGAAGGTCGTTTGAATCCTAGTTTTATATTATGTATATGTATATAGATATAAAAGGTTATTTCTTTCATTCAGTTCCATTCCCTTGGGTAGCAAGGGCATACAGACATGTTCATACTTTACTAGTAAACTATCGTAGGGGTAGTTTAGGAAGATACTATTACTAGAACAATGAAACATACAATGAGTCACTTCATACATGAGTCAATACATACTATGATGAGAATCAAGCATGAAACAGAGTGAGGAGAAACAAACAATAGACACTATGATGAGAAACAAACATACAGGCTAGACAGAGAAAGAACACACAATACAGCTAGCACACACATACAATACATATACATTAACACAGATATGTGAGCCATTAAGTAGGGCATGGCACTACCTGCCTTGACTGTTTTTGTATCGAAATATCCTTAATTGGGGAGCGTATGAGTTTGTGTATAGATCTGTACTGGATTGACTATCCTACACCTTGCTGCTCGCTACAGTGGGACTTACAAGTCTATGGGTGTCAAACGTCATTTTTGTGGCATCTTATATTGTCACTTTACTATTGATCCGGTAGCAAGATACAGGCCGATCACATGTTACCTTAAAATATACAATTGGCTTAAGGTAGTTAGTATAGCAGTAGTTTACTTAAACTACGTTACGGTACTATAACATTTCCCCTTTACATTTTACTTTGTGATATTCACATGATGCACGGTAATGTAGAAACTATATTTTTGGTTAATGATATAGTTTTACTTTGTGATATTCACATGATGCACGGTAATGTCAAATACAAACTCATACACTTTTACAAGATATACACACACAAACACTAGATGCCTTGGTAGAAGGCTACTTTTAGTAGGAAACATAGGGTTTTATAGAGTAGAACAAACAATCACACAACCTTTCACTACTAGAAAAACGACCTTTTACGACGCTCATTGCGCGTCGTAAAAGGCTCAGACGACACGCAAATGCACGTCAAGGAAGGCCCTGTCATAAAGAGAGACGACGCACATTTACGACGCTCATTTGCGACGCGTAATTACGATGCACATTTACAACACGCAATGCGTATCAAGGAAGGCCCTGTCATAAAGGAAGACGACACGCATTAGCGTGTCGTAACCTTATGACGCTTGTGTTAATGACACGCAATGCATATCAAGAAAGCCCCTGTCAAGAAAGGCCATGTCATAAATGAAAATGACACACATTTTTGCGTATCATAATTTTAAATGTTTAAAAAAAATTATTATTTATAGATTTACTAATTTTCAAATTAAATAATAGATTAAAAATCTCATAATACAAAATAAAATACCATAAATAACAAAGATAATTCATTTCACTAATATGTCAAATACAAATAATTATTCCAAAAGTGAGTAAATGTTATAAAAAAATGAACTCATTTATATACAATTACATCATCTAGCTTACTATGTGCCAACAACTATGTGCGTGTTTACTTTTGCTTGAGTCTCGTTTCCTCCAAAGCTTCTAGCCATGCCAAAATATGATACCTTGAGTATCGTATGAATAGATCCCGCGCAATAGGTCTAGCTTGTATCATTCCAAATAATTCCAATGCTGGTCTCTATACAAGCCAATAATTTGAGAACTTAATTTTAGTATTATTTTATAATTAATCAAACAAGAAAACAATAAATACCTTCTGCCATATATGAAAGAGAACAAGATAAACAAGACCAGCATCGCCACTTTCTGTTTCCTTAGCAGGACTGTATCTTCTTCCCCAATGCCTAGTAACAAAGGAACCTGGAAAAGTGCTAATTTCCTCCTGCTAGTGTGATCTGCATGAGCAACAACTGTAGCATAAGAAATGCTTCTGCACAATTTTAATTGAAAAATCCCAAAAATTTAGCTATTGACATTTTTAGTGTACTTTAATCCTATAAAACTTTGAACAAGCCTTATCAAGTATGATATATCTTGATAACCACTTCATGCAGAATAAGCCTCAAAAAGAATCAATCCACCAATCAAAACTGAACAAGTCATATCATATATCTAGATGATTGTTCACCATATCCACAATATCACAATATAAGAGATAAGAGTATTGAGAGGTTTAATTTTGTATGAAATCCGTGTCAAAATTGAAAGGAACTTTATTCAAACCTAAAAACAGGCGTATGGATGCGAGCATGTGGTTCTTGATGAAACAAGAATTATAACCGAATTGTCACTTGAATAACAAAAGTGCATCGTTGATGTATAAATATATAATTCCAACTTTTGAGATGAAAATATGTTAGGGGATTAAGTAGAAGAAATTACCCAGAACCAAAAGAAAGAAGCTAGCTTAAACGCGTTTTGCATACAAATTGATCATGAGTTATGAAGTTGTGTTATTAGCCCTAAGAAGTTTATTTTTTGATTGTAGGTTATCAAAAATCTACTCCATTGTTTAGATAGTCCCGAGCTTCCTTTCCTTCAATGGAAAGAATGTTTTGTAGTTTTAGCAAATCGACTTCATAAAGATCTTAAAAACAAGAAGCATTGATTCCAAACTGCATTGATCAGGGATTTACTTGAAAGAGGCCATGTTTGACTTCTCAATCTAAGGGATTATTAGCTCACCCTCAAATCATTGCAGAGAGGGGATAGGATAGTTGTGCCTATACATTGGAATAGAACCTAGGATACATTACAAAAGAATCAAATATACAATTTTCAATTACCTTAAAACTAATGGGCAAAAGAATACCATGTTAAAATTGTAATTACTGTGATGAGGGCACTTCAATTGCAACTGATGGCACCACCTTAAAAAAATTATTGTTAAGTCCTAACTTTTTACAAATTCTCCCTTTCAGGTAATTAACAATCTAACCTTCAGATGGTTGACGCTAAATACTGAAAATAAATGTTTCCATCCTTCTTTTTGGACAATCATAACAAGAGTTCCCATTGTTCCTTTCAGTTGTGAGCTTGAGCCTTGTAGACGTTGAACCTTCAATACTCAAACAACATGTATCTTGATAATCTCATACTTTGATTATATACATATAGATATACATATACATATACATATACATATATATATATATATACATATATATACATACATATATATATATATATATATATATATATATATATACACTAGATTTAAAAGATTGCCTGCATGTGGCTTTTGACAATATCCAAAGGGTAAGTGAAAGTCTGACCAAGTAAACCAGCAACCGACCCACAAGCAAGTTTGACCGTCATGTTCTTTCTGTAATCAATGGGGAAATGGCTTTTCATTTTCTCATAGAAGTAAAACTTCAAACCCGAGTAAGGAAAGATTCTATAGAGTGATGGAGCTACCAAAAAAATCAATTTTTATAAATAAAAAAAAAACTTATTTTGTATGAGAAATTAAAAAATTCATACCAACACCATGATACAGCCCTCTAATCCAAGCATCTCTATAAGTTCTTGAAAAACAATCCCTAATTCCTCTGAATGCAATGTTCACTACTCATGGCTTCTTTCATGTTCAATTTGGGAGTATCCACAACCTGTACTATCAGATGAAAATGATTGGGCTAGTTAGACACTTGCATATTAAAAAAAGTATGTAGCTATTTGTTAAAATAAAGTTGTTGGAATTATGATCGTATACCTGGTAAACCAATTTAGTTCTAACTAAATCAAGTGGATAAGTAAAAAGAACAGCAGTTCCTCCAGATAATTATACTGGTAACAGATGAACAACTGGACCACTTCCCATTCCATGTTATTTTAACACAAGTAAACTATAGTCTATAGACCGAGGTTATTTTTGTAATTACTGCATCAATTGATGGGTTACTATCCTTTCCAGACTTCTAAGTAATAAAAAACTAAAATAAAAAAATAGAATTCAATGAGTTAGTAATGCCTAGTTTCTCATGAAAAATGTCTGACCTTGACATTGATTTTGAGGGAGACATTTGAGAGATATTGTTTGCTGATCTTTAAAACATATTTTGTAGGACAACATTGTGAAATCAACCCGATATCCGTTTCACATTTCTGCTTCACATCACCTGAAACTCAAGCAACTTTAGTGTCTATTTGGTTGGAAGGAATGGAATGGAATGGTCCATTCTATTCTATCAAGCAAAACAAAAAAGTTTTCATTTTAATTCCAATGGAAGGGTGATAAGCGTATGAAAGCTACATACCGTACAAGTTGCAATTGTTGTCAGGGAGAATGGTAATAAGGAATTCCAACTCTTTTCCTCCAAGTTTGTTTTACAGTGGCTGTATACAAGTGCCTTAAAGCCTTCTTGACCTGATCTGGTCTTGCAGAGTAGATTGGAACCACACTCACTTTTAAATTCCTGAAATTTCCAACATTTTGTATATAATTTAAATATTTAATTTATGAAAGATAATATTTGAGTTGATTATATACATACCATGCCAGATTCTTGGCACATTTGGACCAACTGATGACAAAAACTTTGAGCAGCACTATCTGGAACAGTTCTTGAGAAGTTGATATAAGCCCAGTAATTAACAACAATTCCATTTATAACTTTCTGTATCATGAAAATAGTATAATATTAATTATATTATAAACAATTGAAACAGTCCCTGTATATATTAATAATTTAATACCTGATACATGTGCTTGACAGATAGCTTCCCAAACAGCAGCTAGTTCTAAGCCAATAGCTATAAGCTGAAACAACCAAAAGGACATGAATTACATACTTAGAATAGCCTTGTTGCTGCTTGTTCTTGAACCTCTGAAAATCAAAGTAGTTACAAACATAATCAACTGTTGAAATTAACATGAACATTAGATACACAAAAGGCATACCTTGAACTCATAGTTATGTGTTTTTGCGAATTTTGTAGCAAAAGCGAGAGAGAGCAGAAGGCTCAGAAGGTTTAACTGAACTTATGAATTGATAGTATTTGGCATTGCATTGGGTCTAATATAATAATATTCACAATGTTTTGGGAAGGAAAGAGAAGCAAATTTCAGTAATAAAATAAAGTGTTTTGAGTACACTTTGTCATGTTCAATAAAGCAAGTCACATATAATAACACAAAATCATTTAGCAATATCACAAGAAAAAAGATAATAAAAAAAGCATCAACACTTGATGATTACTTGGCCCAAACTTCCACATTCAAATAATTGTACAACTCCCTCAGCATGATGTACATGTCACATTACCATAAACAATGAACTAAACTAACGATGAAAATTACTAGGATTCAACTTTCTTGATGGTAACCTTACATTTTCAAGAACCAATCATATGGGTACTAAAACGTCTTGAAATTTATGTTGATCTTTCTTTGACCAAAGCCAAATCTTGGATATAGAAAAGCTTTCACCTTTGCTTCTACTACTCATTTTCTTTCCATCACTACCCCCATCAACTGAGCTATTCCCCTTATCTTTCTCAATACCAAAATATTTTTTTCCAATATTACCCCTACTAGGGTAAAATCTCACATGTAATTCCGAGTTTCCCACCACATACTCATAAGATCCCATTGAAAAGCACCTTCTTGCATCAAGATTACTGTTACTAGTCTCCCCCACTTCTTTCTCATCTCTTTTCTTACCATTTGTGGCTCTAAACTTGCCAAATCTAACCGGATACACCCACTTTTAATTCCCCCCCCCCTCCAGATTGCTTAAAATTACAAGATACCCCTAACACATGATCATCTTCTTCCCTTTAATCATCATGGAAATCGAAGACTGGATTTTCAACCGAAAATCCAGGAGTAAAAAGTGTACCTCTGCATAAAGGACAAGTCGAATTTGAAAGCAACAAAGTGTCGATACAATGAATGTGAAAAGCATGGCTGCATAAAGGAAGCGACCTTAGCTTATCTTGTTCTGAGAATTTACAAAGACAAACCACACAATCGATGGGCTCTTTTGACCCCATTAGTTCTTTGTAAAGAAACAATGGGAGAGCGTCAATGAAAGCTTGATCTAAACCAGAATGTAAATGGAAGAGCTGTTGTAGTTGTCTCTAGTAGGAGACATCATCATTAACGTTACTTTCTTGAAATATTGAAGATTGACGATGAGAGTTTGAAGATGATGATGATGTTTTCTTCTTCATGAGGTATCTTGCAAGAAAGTGAAGTAACCAACAGATGACGAACCCAATTCCCAATACAATCACACTGTTTCTAGCGAAGATTATAGATGAGCGAGGTTTATGGTTACCGGGAGGAGAAGAAAAAGGAGAAAGGTTTTCTTTGATGAGGGGTTTGATCCGGCGCATGCTAGTAGATATGAAATGCTACAACAATCATCAAGTTTGGAAGAGTTCTCTTGCAGAAAACTTCTATTGAGATTTTGAGATATGGACATCATGGGGATCTTGTGTTGAGATTTTGAGCTTGTTTCTGAACACTTCTGAGTGAAGAAGTATGAAGGTTAATTTTTGTTTAGATGACGATGAGGGGTGGATTTATATATAGAGCAGTCAACGTGATGATTCGCAGACCCCCAATCGCCGGTTTTGTGAAGGATTTTGTGAGGTCCACAACCCAAATTCTTTGAAGCGGGGTTTAAGAATTATAAGAAAATAACGTAAGAATGAGGTTTAGATGAGATCATCGGTGAAGAACAAGAAGTAATGATAGAAACTAGGGTTATTGGCTCACGAAAATGATGAATTAAAGAACTAACCTTAAACCCTCTGTAAACAAGGTATGTGTATGCAGACATATCGATATGTAAGTAATGGAGTAGTAGTGGTGGCCATCATCTCCATTGTCGATCACATATATTAAGGGAGGGGGATAACGAACCCTAGAAGGCCATTACATTGAGAAATCGCACATTTAGAGAGTGAAAGGTAGTGAAATGGTGCATCGGTGGCTGTTGTTTTAGTGATCCGGTGGGGTACTGTTTAATTTAGAAGGAGAAGAAGGATTTTAGAAGGATAAGAAAACCAGAAGGGTGATTAGGGTTTTCTACAGTATTAGGGTTTTTTTGTTTGAGGATTTTAGAAGGAGAAGAAAGAGATAATCAGGCGAAGAAGGATTATTAGGGTTTTTTTGTTAGAGGATTTTAGAAGGAGAAGAAGGAGATGAATCAGGCGGGCTGTTTAATTTTTTGGGTTTTCATTTCCCACCATACATTATTAAAGCAACGGAGAACGCGCCTTTCTAAAAAAAATATAAAGCGACACATTTACACGACACGCTTATTATGATCAGTGCCCTCCGTGTTTTTTTTGGACACTAATTTTAGGGCGCGCAAAAATGCGTGTACTATATCCTTCAAATTTTGGAAAACTTACATTAATTTTTAGGGCACGCACAAATGCGCGTTCTCTATCAGCGTGTGTCATTAATTGCGCGTCGTAAAAGGTTGTTTTTCTAGTAGTGTTTACAAACACACACAATACATTTTACAAAACATCCTACAAATGCTTTCATACAAACTCAGACACTAATATACTTATGAACTCACCAGCTCTAAAGCTAATAAACTCTTTCAAAATAACTTGTATTCTCAGGTCACCAGTAGACAGTTACAAGTGCCAGATTTTGAGAAGAAGGAGCGTGTTCAAGACTCCTCTTTTATTTTTTATGTATATTTTTGGTGTCTATATAACTTGACAGAACACACTTGTATGAAATTATTGATGGGTTTTGGTCATATGAACATTCCTATGTGCACATACAAACCCTAATGCTTGGATCTAGGTTTCTCTAATTAAACATGCATTGAATCCAAGACTTCTAATGGCTAATTAGGTATAAGAACAATACAAAATCAGAGTTAGAAGCATACCTTGAAACACTTGTTTGATCTTCTTCTTCTTGGTGCTTTAGAGTCACAATTGTAACTCCTCTAATGGCTTACAAACACCAACTAGCAAAGAGAATGATTTGAGAGAGAGGAGAGAGGAGGAAATCGGCAAGGGTATCCTCACTTTGGAGGAGGTGCCAATTTCCCTTCCCCAAGGGGTCTGTTTATACTTGTAAGGCTCCTAGGGTTTTACCCTTAAACCCTGATTGGATAACTATTACTCAAAGCAATCCAAATCCTTCCCAAGATAAGCCTTCAACGAATTTGAGGCTATCCCAAGCCTTAGAATTCGTCCAAACACATCTCCTATAAGGATTTACAGCCTAAAGTGTAACTATCAAACAATTGACAGTTTATACCCTCTTATTTAATTAATCTCCTTAAGTCACCAAATTAATACTAATTAATCTATGACTTGTATTAATTAAATAACTATATTATTATTCATCATATTATTCTCATAATATATTAATAATATCTATTCTCTCATAATAAATCATCCTACCAAGTTGCTATGGTGAAGGCAACCCAAAAGGACCATGCACAATCGGGTCAAATACTTGCCTAATATAGTTGCAGCCTTAGACACTATTCCAATAGTCTCCCACTTGGATAAGTCTAGTAACTATATGCGTAGGTACATTCCGATTTGCAATTGTAGCTCTCAAAGATGCTGTCAAACTCTGATCTAATCAATCTTGTCCTTTAGATAAGGGATCGTACAGTCCTCTGTTAGATATGATGCTGACAATTCTATAGAATGGTTAGTCTAGCATTTGGTTTCTCGATCTCCGATTCATTTGACATAGAAGTTAATCGAACACATCAATTCAGTTCTGACCGGGCCCGGCACATAAGTCAAATCAAATCATCGAGTGGCCAAGATATCACTTTTTCTTTCTTAGAATAAAAGTTACAGATAAACTTCGACTTATATGAATTTACTTATTCATTAACCAACTATACACAACAATGCGTTTTATAACATCGAGTTACCAATGCGTTTTCCCATTATCAATGTACAATCAATTAACCAATAACAAACCATATATCTAGGTTTTAAGACTATATCATATTATCGTCTTGCGATCACCCATTTACTATCACATTCAATAAGGTGATTCTAGCAAGCGCGGGTTTGTTCCAATGCTCAAAACTAGTTCATAAGCACTCATGAACACTGCATCAATCTTTTTCTATGTCTAAAACCATTTAGACACTCTACACACCTATTCATGACAATCTTCATTCATACTTACTTCCAACATATGAACGATTGTGGACAATTTGAATAATTCGATTATTCCTAATAAACTCAATTATTTTGGAAGTCAAAACATGCAAAGTGAAAAAATAGTTAAACAATTAACATAAGATAGTAACATTACTTATAAATAAAACTCCTTTATTTAATCATCAAATGTTAATTACATTTATCTATTACATGTTTCTAATACTATCTAATATATGCTAATATCATCCTTTAGCCCAATACTCCTAGCATGCTGCAAATGCTTAACCCTACTCAGTCCCTTCGTAAGCGGATATGCTGGGTTATCTTCTGATGATATCCTCTTCACTACGAGTTGTCCTTCTTCTACACGATGTCTAATAAAGTGATATTTTCTGTCGATATGTCGCGATCTACCACGATCTCTCGGTTCCTTGGTTAAGGCAACCGCTCCTTCATTATCACAGAAAATATCCATGGGCTCCTTTATGGCAGGTACAACTCCAAGATCACTAATGAAGTTCTTCAGCCATATTGCCTCCTTTGACGCTTCGCTCGCTGCAATGGACTCTGATTCGCACGTTGAATCAGCTACGGTTTCCTGCTTGGAACTTTTCCAAGTTACTGCTCCTCCATTCAGGGTAAAGACCCAGCCAGACTGCGAACGGTAGTTATCTCTATTGGTTTGAAAACTGGCATCACTATACCCTCACACCTTCAAGTCATCACTCCCTCCAAGGACTAAGAACCATTACTTCGTCACCCGAAGGTACTTAAGGATATTCTTCACCGTAATCCAATGGGCTCTGCCAGGATTCCCTTGATATTTACTAACCATGCTCAAAGCAAAGGCAACATCAGGGCGAGTACAAGTCATAGCGTACATGATTGAGCCAACTGCGGAAGCGTATGGAACTCGGCTCATATCAGCTATCTCGGCTTCGGGACTCGGACTTTGAGTCTTACGCAGCTTGGCATTGCTTTGTATTGGTAATTCTCCCTTTTTTGAATTTTCCATACTAAAACGTTTTAGTACCTTCTCTAAGTAGGTGTTCTGACTAAGTCCTATTAGTCTCTTATTTCTTTCTCTTACTATCCTTATTCCCAAAATATAGGAAGCCTCTGTGAGGTCCTTCATAGCGAAGCACTTACCAAGCCAGGACTTAACCTCCTGCAGAGTCGGGACGTCGTTTCCTATGAGTAATATGTTATCGACATATAGAACGAGAAAGCTTACTATACTCCCACTGGCTTTGACATATACAAACGATTCATCTTCGCTTTGTACAAATCCAAACTCTTTGACTTTCTCATCGAAACAAAGATTTCATCTGCGAGAAGCTTGTTTATGTCCATAAATGGACTTTTCAAGCTTACACACTCTATTCGGATGCTTCGGATCCACAAACCCCTCTGGCTGAGCCATGTAAACATCCTCAGCCAACTTTCCGTTAAGGAAAGCGGTCTTGACATCCATTTGCCAAATCTCATAATTATGAAATGCGGCAATTTCTAGCATCACTCTAATAGACTTTATCTTTGCAACTGGTGAGAAGGTCTCTTCATAGTCAACTCCGGGAGTTTGAGTAAAGCCCTTTGCAACCAATCGTGCTTTATACGTGTGTACTTTTCCATCCACATCAGTCTTCTTCTTGAAGATCCATTTGCACCCAACGGTCTTACGTCCGGGCACATTATCAACCAAATTCCAAACTTGGTTATCATACATGGATTAGATCTCGCTATCCATTGCCTCTTTCCATTTCGTAGACTCTGGGCCTGCCATGGCTTCCTTATAGCTATTAGGTTCATCATGATTTATTAGTGTACTATCACTAATATACGTGTCCCCTTCGGTAGTAATATGAAAACCATACAACTGGGGTTGAAACCTAACTCTTTCAGAACGTCTAAGAGGTAATGATACATCAATCGGTTCAACCGTAGTTTCCTCCTCGGGTTGAGTGCCAACGGTTGAGGTTCCTTCATCTACCGACTCTTGAATCTCTTTAAGATCGATTTGCCTCCCACTGTCTCCTTGGCCTATGAGTTCTCGCTCTCGGAAAACTCCTCTCCTCGCAACAAAGACAACATTGTCCTTCGGTCTATAGAAGAGATATCCAAAGGATTTCTGCGGGTAGCCGATGAAAATACATCGCTTACTACGAGGTTCGAGCTTGTCGTAAATATCTCGTCTTACAAAAGCCTCGCAACCCCAAACCTTGATATGTACCAACGAAGGAGCTTTCCCCATCCACATCTCGTGAGGTGTTTTGGTAACCTTCTTTGTAGGGACTCGGTTAAGGATATGGGCAGCAGT